TTAAATGAACTCATACATAACTAGAGAATTTTGAGTAAATGATTGTGTAATGCAAAACTGATTAAGGTGTAAAGTTGTAATGAATAATATCTGCGTGAATTGCTATGAAGTTTTTCCACTCAACTGTTAGCTCATCAATCTGATCAGAATCAAACAATTTTTCCAAACTGAGGTCACTGAGTGAGATTCTCATATTAGGCAACATAATAATTACCTATCTTTCCACAAAGACCTACTTTAAAAGACCTAAGCTATCCATTTATGTCTGCTCCTTAATATAAGTTATTGCTATTAATAATTTGTAAGGAGACAAATATCCAATCTTGAAGCAGCGTGCCTATTCAAATCAATAATGCTGTTTTCACAGTTGACCAAACTATGTAATCTTATTTTCTGACCAAATGTTGACTTGCTGCTGGTCCTCCAGTCGATAACAGGCAGACTGCCTATCTGGAGATGGCACTAAAAGATAACAAAGTCTGGAGTTTATGGACCAGTTCCGAGTCTTTCTCATGCATGTTACCAACAGGCTGTTTCTCATATTAGAAGCTATGAACCAACTCTCTTTATCGACATTTTGGCTAGCGTGTAGTGGGATAATCAGTGACTGTACTGACACAATTTTTACTGTACCTATTAAAAAAATCCATCGCTCTTGTGGCATTTTACTGTGAGATGTGATGTATTGATTGGATTGTCCTGAGCTAACCTAATATTACAGTACTTCAAAATCTCTCAATCGGATTTGCAAATAAAATGAGCATAACTTTATGGTTATACATTATCTGATTTACTTAAGTGAAAATTAGCTTGGGAACTGATTTTTTAAATTAGATTTTTGGCCAAAACATTATACCAGAAACCTTTTTTTTTTTTTTTGCATTATGTCTGATCTGGTGGTGATCTCCCTAAAACATCAACTATTTTCCTTTGGGAATGAATACCTGTTATGTATCAGACAAAGAAATATCCACTTTTACACGTGAATTCCCTTCTTTAGGTTTGTTCAGCTAGCAGGATTTTCTAACCCATGTTTGATCCAGTGTCTAATTAATTCCTTAAGTTCTTGTGTTTGTTGCAGCAGAGGGGAGAGCGGGTGTTCGATATATGAGGAGAGGGGATCAGTCTTTGAAGTGGTGTTCTCCAAGTCTCTAGAGGATAAAGAAGCCCGAGGCTGGACTCAGGCTGTGGAGGAAAGCAACAGCCACTTTTCTTACTGTGGAGCTGAATCTGAGGTTTGCTGTGGTCATGTTTGCTCTCTGAACTGCCACCATTATCAATGTATCCACAAACATACTGTGTCATGATGGTATTCTTGTAAGGCTGTGGAATATCACCAGAAAACTTAAAGAGAATAAAGTTTTAATTTGATCGAGACTAGAAATCAAATAATTTAAAATAACAAGGCTGCATTCTTGTGCCCTGTCTGAAATCAAAGGCTCATAGTAACACTGAAAATCTGATTTTTTCAATCCTCTGTGGTATACCCCTCCCTGTGCCTAACTAGCTAATGAACTTTGAGCTATCTTTCCTTATTTTACCATGGGCCTACTTGTCCGTCCCTACAGACAGAAGCTACTTCTTGGCAGGTCTTGCTTAGGGGAATCCAACTCTCTCGGCTGTAAAATAAAGTGCTGCTTTCTTCTGAAAGTCATTTTGAGGTGAGAAACAGAATTCAGGGATGCTCTTTCTCTTGGCGTAAACAGCACCATCAATATTTGTGACCATTATGCCACCTTATTCCCACAGCCACAAATCAGACAGGCTGTAATCATCAGTGATATCATCAAATCTGTCTGCTTCTAAATATACTGCAGGCTTTTTGCTCTTGAAGTGTTTGCTAGAAAAGAGTAACCAATCAGTTTTTTTTTACTTTACCTTAAATTAATTTGGAAGCAACCTGAACCAACTGACTCATAATGTACCTTATAATATGTTACATTATGTTCGAGTGTTACATAAAAGATGTATAATTTCAGTAACAACAAAACAATGAGCTGTTACCGTGTTAAGGGTATATGAAGTGATCTGTGAAACATTTGCTTATTACAGTCTAAAGTCATCCATCCATCCATCCATCCATCCATCCATCCATCCATCCATCCATCCATCCATCCATCCATCCGTCCATCCTTCCGTCCGTCCGTCCGTCCGTCCATCCATCCATCCATCCATCCATCCATCCATCCATCCATCCATCCAGCCATCCAGCCATCCATCCATCCATCCAGCCATCCATCCATCCATCCATCCATCCATCCAGCCAGCCAGCCAGCCAACCAGCCAGCCATCAATTTTTCACCATTTATCCATGATCAGATCAAGCGAGTAACAGATCTAGTGGGAAACCCAGACATCCCTTACCCCAACAGCACTTTCTAAATCCTCCTGTGTATCCTGACGAGTTCCCAAGCCAGACAGGATACATAATCCCATCAGAAAGTTTTGGGTCTGCCCAGAGGTCCCCTCTAAGTGGGACAGGACTGGAAAACTTCCAAAAGGGACATGCCCTGATGGCATCCTAATCTGATGACCACTTCAATTGACTCCTTTTGATGTGGAGTGGCAGTGGCTCAATTTTACTTAATGATAGAGAAGTGCAGGAACCTTGAAAAGCAAGACATTTCTGAGGACTGTTTTTTTTTTTGTTACCCTAAAAGATTTTGTTTTTCCCACACCATATTTTCCGTGCAATGATTTCATTGGACACATTAAAATATACTGTACTGAACATTGTCATGAAAAATAAAGCAGTTGAGCAGCATTAATAAGAGTATGATCCAAAAAGCAGTTATCTGAGGGTACATGGACTCAAACAACCATATTTCATTTAAACAGAGGGGGTAGTTCACAGTCCTCATACTGACTCACTCTGATCATTAATGCAGCCTTGGGTTGACATTGCTGACACTGTAACTGTAGCTTTGGCCCTGCTTGTGCTTTATTTGTTATGATTCTGCATTAATTTTTAATGGTTTTAGCTCCAACTACATGCAGCGGTTGTGTTTGCCCAGTTATTCTGTTTCATTTTAAGAATACAGTTGGAAACCCTTCTGTCGTAAATAGGCTCAGAGTTGTGCAGGTAAACACATGGATGGCACCAACCTTAGCCAAGTTCTGAACATTCAGCCAAAGCCTCTTTAATCTCAGACTGGTATCAAAAATGTAAATGTTTACAACCTTCGATTTGAATAAATTAGACTTTAGGAATGTGGAATACACAAAACATGTGTCATGATCGATCCCATTTGAAGGAATCTACTGCAGTGTTGGACCAAGTGCTACAAAATGTGCTCAACTGACTAAAAGTATAGTAATATCTTAACCTCAGACCTTTGTGGTTAAATAATACACATCACTGTCAGTGTACTAGAGATACAATTTTCCCCAAGAAAACTTATATAGTAAAATATTAAAATACTTACTTTTGCTGACAGACTTCCTTAGCTAAGATTGACCAGCTTTGAACAGCACAAAAAGATCATACAGCTTGTATTTTCTTTCACCTTTACTGTTCATTTCTGTCTCAAATATTGTATGAATAAATGTAGAATACATAGACTTGCTGTTATTAAAAAAACATATTTGTTTGTCTTTCTTTCATTAAAGTCAGTATCACTCCCCACATACAGCAGTGTCGTCTAAAATTTTAAACATCATTATTAGCTACATCTTTGCTTCTACTCAACTCAATGTCATGTATAACAAATACTAAAAAGCAATAAACAAGTTTTAAATTAAATGTCAGGTTGTCAGAAATGTTTTTGTTTTGTTTTTAAATATAATTTTCTTCCATTTATTTTTTCTCAGTTTATATGCTTTCTTTTATGATTGCCTAAATTGATTTAAACTGTTTACTGTTGTCATCGTTGTCTACTTTTGTCATCATTCTTTGTTTAAAACAGGTCTCTCTTGGAAATGAGTCCTCAGGCTCAATAAGACTAACCTGTATAAATAAAGGTTGAATTGAATGAATATATACAGAAAAAAAAAGAAAAGAAAAGAAAAACCGTCCAGATGACCTGACTGAACATTGTTGGATCTGTACCTGTATTATTGAGCATGAACTTTGGTGCTTTAACCATTTTGGCATGGCTGCCTTAAAGGAATTGACAGAGGAGAGGGTGGGTCCCAGAAACCATCTTATCACCACCAAACAGTTTCTTTCCACTATGGGAGATGGTGCTTGTGACACTCCAGTTTGTTTGTGGCTCCTCAGACTGAGTAAATCCTTTGGATGAAGGATAAAATGTCTCAGCAAAAAAAGAAGCCGTCCAGATGACCTGACTGAACATTGTTGGATCTGTACCTGGATTACCGAACATGAACTTTGGTGTTTAATATGCAGATTACACAATACGCCTTGCATATAGCATGCGCTAGTCCAAGTGTTACTAATAATATTAAAGATATCTTTGTTTTGGTGTGCTAATACTGTAATGTTTAACACTGTAGCGAGCCAGAAAAAAAACAATGCAGAAAAGCAAAGCAGTTAATTGGAATTTAGCCTTTTGAACTATTATAATTTACATTAGAAAGTGAAAATAGTAACAACATATCTGTTTATGTTATTGTTTATTGTATAGCCATTGTTAACTCTACTTTTAATTTCATATTTTTAAAATGAACAAGGCAGGTTAATTTGACTATCCAGGAGTGGGAAAATGTTTTTAAAACCAAAAGCATTCATTGTAAATAATAATAGCAAAGAATCAAAAGCATAATCCTTCACTAAACACCGTGCTGTCAGTGGTCTTTCCCAAACACAGGAAGGTTTTGCTCAGATCATACTATCACTTAACGCACCCTCACGCTGAAAATTTCAAAATAAATAACTGAAAAGTTCAACTACCATTTTACATTTTTTTAAGTGTTAAAAATGTGAATATGTTTCTATTCATATCAACTGTTAGTTAAAAATCGACCAGCGTCATTTATTTTTATTTTTTATTTCAAGTAGTTCACACCCCTCCTCAGTTCTGCAGTGGTTCGCTCCTTCACTCCAGCTGATCGGCCCAGCAGTGTCCCCCCGGTGCCGCTGACCGCCGCTGGCTTTGACAGCCCCAACGTCGACTTTAAACTGCTTTAGTTTCACCCAGACAGTGGCCGCTCGTGACGGCAAGGTATTTATTTTACGCTGAATCTCTAAGGAATAATCCGGGCCAAGTATTGACTCTTAAAGCCAAGGTGATCTGAGCACAAGTTCGAGGCCTTCACTCCATCCACGGATTCACCTGCTACACGGAGAGCTCGTCACGGCTTACCGACATGGGGGACACGGGGAGTGAAGGCAGCAAGCCTACGAGCAACGTCAACGTTATACCTCCGCGCTGCCCATGTGGATTCTGGGGGTAAGTCAAAATAAATTTGACAAATTTCATCCTTTGAAATTCTTTTTCTGTTTGCCAACAGTTAGCAAAGTCGATAGCCGTTAGCATTAGCGTCCCTACAAGGATGAGCTGCTTTTCTCGTCATTACTCCCCTCCCCATTGTTTTGTACCATTAGCTGCTAGCTAAAACCAGCTGGTCTCGGTAACCTTATCTTGATTGTATGGGAGGCAACCAGGTAGTTTGGGCCACAAATCCTCCGGGTAACTTGACAGCAATGACACGTATAATATATTAGAAAGTCGTTAATGTACTAAGTTTGAACAACAAATGGTTAACAGTAGCCAACTAAACTGACTGTCAAATGACTAAAACCAGTTGTTTGTTTAACACAGCTGACATGCCTGAACACAAACCAGACACAAAAGATTTACATAATATAGGGCCTACATGGTATGTTTTTTTTAACTTTCTTAAATATGCTGTTTTAAGGAATGTGTTTTATTGTTTTGAGAATGTAGGAATTTGCACGGTATTGATAGACTTTTTGTCTTAATCATTTAAAAAAAACGCTCAATTTAAAAATAAATTTGTAAAATATAATGTTTTGCCTTGTCATTGTAGTATGTTTTGAATTGCTCGTAGTAGTTTATGCGAAAGGTATTTAACAGGTTTTAAAGGTGTTTAAAGGTTTGTCCTAACTTAGTTTTTGACTTCAAGTTTCAACTCTTTTCAACCTTTTTAAAATTATTTTTTACAACTTTTAAAGAGTATCTATTTATATATGTTTTTTTTTTAAATAAATAAAGATTTAATGTCGCAAAACCTATAAAATATTTGGAACAGGTTGGTTAGACAAGGAAGTCTAACAAAATATCCATCCATCCATTATCTTTACCCGTTTATTCCATTTTGGGTCACGGGGGTCGCTGGTGCCCATGTCCAGCAATCACTGTGCGAGGGGCGGGGTACACCCTGGACGGGTCGCAAGTCTATCACAGGGCCACATAGAGACAAACGAGACAAACAACCATTCACTCTCTCACTCATACCTAGGGACAATTTAGAGCTACCAACCAGCCTAACATGCATGTTTTTGGTCTGTGGGAGGAAACTGGAGTACCCGGAGAAAACCCACGCATGCACGGAGAGAACATGCAAACTCCACCCAGAAAGGCCCCTGGACCGGGGTTTGAACCAAGGACCTGCTCGCTGAGAGGCAGCAGCTCTACCAGTTGCTAACAAAATATATTTATATTATTACTATGTTATGATAGAATGTGATCTGTAATAATAATAAAAAAAAAGATTCAGCTTATTTTGCCAGTATAGTTTATACTATTAGCTTTCTCTTTTTTTTTTTTTTTGTCTTTTGGCTGCTCCTTTCCACAGGGGTTTCCACAGCAAACTAAATCACATGAAGACTTGGTAATTGTTTTTACACCACCCTTCCTGACACAACCACAGACCACCGAGCTACCACAGCCCTCTGTGTGGAGCAGAGAGCTGCTATCTAGGGTGCCCGCAGGAGCATATGGTGGCAGTTAAGGGCCTAATTCAGGGAACCAGGGTGGGGCAAACAAGGGTGGAGGCAGGTGTGGGTGTTTCACCTTTCCCACCTACATTTTGATGTTGTCGGCCAAACCGGCAACCTTCTGATCACAGGCTCACCTTCTCAAACCTCTGCGCCACCACTCCCCCATAGATACTGTTCTCTATATGCACAAGAAAAATCCAGATCCACAGATTTTCAAAACATTTTGGAAAACTTTTAATTTCACAAACAATTTTATTTAGTCTGTGGCATCTGTCATGTTCAACTTGTGGTTGGGCCTGGTTATCTGTGCAATAAATGACGAAACCATAATCCGTGAAAGAATGGAGTTAACTAATATTACTGAAAAAAAGATTCTGAATTACAAACCGGATTCCAAAAAAGTTGGGACACTAAAACAAATTGTGAATAAAAAAACTGAATGCAATGATGTGGAGATGGCAAATGCCAATATTTTATTCATAATAAAACATAGATGACAGATCAAAAGTTTAATCTGAGTAAATGTAACATTTTAAAGGAAAAACATGTTGATTCAAAATTTCACTGTGTCAACAAATCCCCAAAAAGTTGGGACAAGTAGCAATAAGTGGCTGGAAAAAGGAAATTGAGCATAGAACGAACAGCTGGAAGACCAATTAACACTAATTAGGTCAATTGACAACATGATTGGGTATAAAAAGAGCTTCTCAGAGTGTCAGTGTCTCTCAGAAGCCAA